GAAAAAGAAATGATGATTTGAAGAAAGGATGATTTGTGCCAAGCCAACCGACGTAGGACAAAAGGCTAGGCTAGCCTCAACCTAGCCTAGGCTCGTGAAAAAAAAAAAAAGGTTATCCTACTAACGGGCTGAGGTCCTGTCGAGAAAAAAACTATCCAACGCTTTAATTTCATTTTTTAGATAAATTGATCCTCAATGCCTTTTATTTATGCTTTTTGAGTTCTTATTTAATTTAGACTTAATGTTTTAGATTTCCTCAAATATATTTAGTTAATGTGATTGTAGGACGATGTCGGGGAGAGATGACAATTTTGGAAAATAGGAAATGGAAAAAAAATATAGACTCACCATCTAGTATTAAGGTTGCTAGGAAACTATATAGATGATGTTTAGAGTTATAGGGATGATTAAAAGTCATCCTACCCTATCCTGCCTAAGGCAAGTCGTAGTGCATATAAAGGTGACTTGATTTCTAATTTTTTTATGATGAAAATCTATACCTATTTTCTAAACACTTGCCAATCGGACAAGTGATTTAGGACTTGGCGAGCTAGGGACCTCGTCCTTACTCTAAAATGAATAGGTATCAAAATGAAATGAAAAGAACATAATGAGTGCATAAGAATATGTGGCTAGGGTGACTCGAATGGCGGCATGGAAATGTTGATAAAAAAAGGGAAAATAGAAAAAATAGGCATCAATGAAAAAATGGCAAATTAGAAAAAAAGAAGAAGATAAAAAAGACAAAAAATGGAAAATTAGAAAAAATAGATAAAAACAGGAAAATGACAAATTAGACAAAATGGATAAAAAAGACAAGAATGGTCCTAATCAAAGGTTGGATCTACAAGAATTTGGGCATCATATTTTTTTAAGAGAATAAGCACAATCAACCAAAATGGGCATTCACGATCAATTTCAAGACTCGAATTGATACAATTTCGAGCACCGTGGTTTTCAATCATAAGCAAGATACACACAATGAAATTTGGCAAAATTGGCAAAAGGTAAAAATATGTAAAACGTTGTTTGAATAGCAATTTGGACAAACACAAATTCTAACATTTTGGTTTTCAAACACAAACGAGGAAATGACAAATACTTGGCAAGCAAGTTGGCATACTTGGTAAGACTCAATCAATCATAATAAAAACAGTTCACTCAAATAATAAAATTTTCAACACTAGTAGTTAATTCTAAAATATTCTCGGATGGCATAAATTGAAATTCAAAGTTTCAATAACTTACCTAGAAGTCGAAAGGCTATGATGGATCGCTAAGATGTCGGTGGAATATGAAATTACTAAAATGATATTTTGGTGGTCGGCTCTAGTTTTCTTCAACTTTTATAAGATTGATCTATTTTTAATCGGCTAGAGAAAATAAATGGTATGTTGAAAAGCTGAAGAGGCCATCGTGAAACTACCAAAATACCCTTAAATTAAAAATTACAAAACTACCCTCACACATGTACTACACATGTTGTCGTTGTCCATGCATCATTGATAGCTCTTCTAATCACCTTCATTCATGTGGATGGCCTCACAGTGCTAGAGGAGGTCCTCCTTGATCTTTCTATGGTGGTCTCATCAATTGTAGTTGATGGAGGAGGGATATCGGCATAGTAAAGATTCATTTTCCTTTCTCTTTCTTTTGCAATCCAATTATGGTGATAATGGACAAATTCAAGGGATAATATTAATGAAGAATAACCTCTAAGATGTAAAGGAACTTTGATTTGGCCTTAAAATGGTGTAATTTGGCTAAAAAAATAGAGGATTTAAGTGGGTTGAGCCACTTTGGGTTGAGTTTGATTCGTTAATCAATCGACATCAATTCACTCATTTCTTTCACAATTTCAAAAGGGGAATGGATGCTAGAGGCTAGAGGAGGATTTATGTGATGGTGGAAGGCATCAATTTGGCTAGAAACTGCCATGATCCAAGCGAAATAAATGGGTTGGTTTGGGTTCTCTTATCTTTTTTTATTGTTTGGGGTGTTTTTTTGGCAAATTTTTAATATGATTTTGGTTAGATTTTAGAGAGAAACATGTTTAGCTTTCTTGGAAGATCAATTTTGCTACAAATTGGTCAATTTTTGAGAAGAATGCAAACAAGTCGGGTTAGTAAGTTAGTAGGTTGACATGTCTTGTAGTCTTTTCTTAGGGGATTTTTGGCTATTTTATTTGGAGATTGATTAGTAGCCGGTGGTGGCGGCTAGTGCAGCGAGCGAAGGAGATGGACATAGGGTTTTGCTACCGATGAGATTTGTTTTGAGAAAGACTATTGCTTTAAGGGTTTTTTTTTTCTCTATGTTGTATGTCTCATGTCCATGTTTTCTACTATAGTAATGAGGTTTTTTTATAGTGAGTTTTTAGGGTTTGATGGCGAAATTTTTATTTAATCCCTTATCTTGCGAGCCTCATTTTCTTTTACCCTTTCAACTCTTTATTTCTTTTAAATTACACATCTAATTGAATTTATTTGGTCCCTATTTCACTTGATTTTTTCAATCAGCATCCCTTTTATCTTTTTACCTTTTTTTTTTTAATAAATAAACGAGGTAAAAATTAGATGCTAATAGATGCACTCTATTTATAATGCTTACAATGCAAAGCCATTGAAAAAAGATATTTTTACGTGGCTTTACATAATAAGCTTGCAAAAAAAATAAAAAAATAAAAAAATAAAAAAAATAATCATAGAAGAGTGGCAAAAAAAAAAAAAAAAAATCAATTGGTAAGGTCAAATGATGAACGCCTATCCTTAAATCACTAGTCACTTATGGGTGACCTCTCTCAAAAAATAGGTTAATATGAGTAAAAAATCCTCGAGGTCAAAGATGTGACATTCTCTTGCCAATTGGTTAATACGAGTAACCATTCCAAAGGTCGTGTATATATATATATATATATATATATATATATATATATATATATACTACTCTTATTATTTAAAATTAATCTTTTTAATTTGTTGTTTCTTATAGAAATTCTCAACAAATTAATTTTTTATTCTTCTTTTTTATGTAATTTTATTTGTTAATAAATATAATTTTTTTTTTATATGTATGGATTTTTGAATAAAGTTTTCTAAAAAAAATTATCAATTGAAAACTAAAATTCAATAAAATAATTAAAATAATATTTTAGAAGAACAACCTAATAATTTGAATACAATTTTTATTCTAATACTATTGATTATTTTATAAATAAATTTATATAAATCAAACATGTATATTTTTGAAAAAGTTTATCTTCTCATCGGCATTAAACAAGAATAAAAAGATTTATTTGTTAAATTTTATACTAGTTTTTATATTAATTGCTGGTTTATTTTTTTGATGCAATCTTTTGAAAAAAAAATATTAAGAAAATTTTAAAATTTCAATATTAAATTTTTTATTTAATTAGATTATCACATGTTTTTATCTAAGAATGAGTGCATAAAAAAGAAGGTTTTTTTTTTTTTTTTTTTTAAACTTTAAAATTTATGAAAAAACATAAAAAGAATACATTCAATGCAAGTAGTTGATTAAAAATTATGAAATTAATTTTATAATATTAAAAAATTAACGAGTAAATAGTTGGTGTTATGTATATAGATGCATACTGAATTTTTAATAAATCAATCATTTTTATTTTTTATTTTTGTATATTATGATCATACTCGGTGAGCTAGAGTGTGCAGCATAAATAAAAAATATTTTTTAAAAATTAAAAATTTAAGTTGTAAGGAATATATTGAAGTTAGTAGATAGCAATAAAAACAACTACAAATTTGTTTTTGATATATTTTGATTATATAAAAAATAAACAAATAAAATACATGAATTTTATTTTTTAATTGATTATTCATTAAAAAAACTTATTCAAAAATTCGTACATAAAGAAAATTAAATCATATTTATTAACAAATAAATTATATAAAAAGATAGTAAATTAGCTTGATGAGAGTTTTCATAAGAAACAACAATGTGAAGAGATCAATTTTAAATAATAAGAGTTGTGTTTTTTTAATTATAAAATTTATGCAAAACATAAAGAAGAATAAAGTAAATAAGATTTTTCTGATTAAAAATTATGAAATTAGATCAAATTTTTTCTTTTATCTTAATTTTATATATTTTAGTTGATCAACAACATATTATAAGCTATCCAACTGAAATAAACATATTTTATTCCACTAGTAGCATAGTGGGAGAAGCCAACTAATTCTGACTAAACCATTTTCAGAATCAGGTTTCAATTCTTTCATGACAAACAAACTGTTGGCGAATGCCCCCAGTCAGTTTGTATCAGGACTACCACAGCAGTTAGCGACAACACAAGGCCACAACAACAGCAATGATACTTTATATGCTCTTGTATTTATCTCTTGTACTAACAAGTCTATGCACAATTCACTTGTAACACAAACACATTATTCTTAGAGACCTAAAGTATTCATTGAGGAAAAACTTATTTCTAAACATTCTGTTAAGTTCAAGTTTACTGCAAAGAGCAGTCAATTTCCTTATCATCACTCATCTATTCTTCAAATATATAAATTGATTCAAGCCTTTGAAATTTGTAAAAACAAACACATTATTCTTACAGACCTAGAGCAAAAAAACTCCAATAAAGACTAGCAAATTTAAATATTACAGAACATTCGCAGTATACACACAAGACAAACAAACTAACAATATTACAGACCAATAGCAGTATAAACGAAGGACAGACGGATTAACATAGGCTTTATGTAATATATTATGCAATAATTAATACGGTACATTGAGGCTCATTGTGAAGACATGCATTTTTGTTCACAGACTAAACACATGACAAACAGCAAATTAATAATATTACAGACCAATTGCAGTACAACACATGACAAACAGATTAACTAGCATGCCTCAGGCTATACTTATCTACATAGGTTTTATGTAATATGTTATGCAATAAGTGGAGGGACCAACGTCTTCACTCACCAATTGATACGGGGCACAGACTTCTTTCCTTAATCATCAACTTTCCTCCAGATCCCAGGCTTGTTAACAGAACATGGAAAATTTTTCAAATTGAAACAATTGCTAACCTCAATGTAACGTATCGACTGCATCGTCTTCTGTAACTCGCTCCAGTCTTCCTCCAAGTTTGGCAAGAATTTCAAACACAAACCTTCAAGGTAGTTCCAAGAGGAGGCATTCTCTTCCTCGGTATGAGCATTTGGGTTGATGAAGCTAAGGTCTCCATTCTCAATGCAGAAGTACCGCAGAACGGAAAGCTTCGTAGGATTAATCCATTTAGGCAAAATTTCGTTACGGTAGCGCCTCAGATATAACTCCTGAAGGCTTGGAGGAGGGCGTAGCTTATCTAGCATCTCTAAGACTTTTTTATCTTTACAATCTTCAGTGTTGATGGCTAGAACCTTGAGTTTCACAAGCGTTGATAAGACATCCAATTCACTTTCAATGATTTCGCTTTCATCATTGAGGTTCATTCGAAGTACTCTTAGTTGGACCAGTTGTTGTAGCTGAAGCAGATGGCAACTTTGTGTTGTTGATTGACGTACCACCCTGAATCCTGACAATTCTTGAAGTTTAGAGAGGTTTCCAATTCCATGGGGTAGGTATTGGAGACCACAAGATCCACAGTCCAGGACTATGAGATTCTTCAAATAAGAGATTGATGGATGCAGTTTGGTTAAATTACTGCATCCAGCGAATATCAAAAGTTGGAGGTTACGAAGTTTCCGGATTGAAGATGGTACTTCTTTAAGGTCAACAGCTCCACTAAGATTTAGATATGCCAGGCGTTTGAGCGAAAAAATCCAGCTCAAAAGCTTCTCCATAGAAGTGCTATCTAACCTGATGTGAGAGAGATCCAACACCCTGAGAGAGTCAAGCGACACCATATGAATCTTATGAAAAGGAACCTGACCTTGACCCATGCCCATTAATAGCAATGCCCTGAGCTTTGAACAAGACTTTAATGGTGTTGTGCTCATCTCACTCGTGAAGCTCAACCATCGCGAATCTGGTGACAATTTCTGCTTGCCTGCTTCAAAGCTACAAAACATCTCATCTTCAGCAATCATATTTGTTAAATCACGTACCAAATCATGCATCTTACAGCTGTAGACTCTTCCATCATAGCCACGCCTCTCCACAACTTCAACAAGGCATCTTCTGACTAGCTCCGTCAAATATTCATATCCCAAGTCCTCTGCAGTTTTTGAGTGATCGCCCTGGATGAAGCCCTCGCCAACCCACCAATGCACTAATTGCTCCGCTTGAATCACGAAATCTTCTGGATAAATTGAAAAGCACAGAAGAAATTGCTTCAGGTGTGTAGGGAGTGCATCATAGCTCAATTGCAAAGAAGCCTTAACTGAGCTATTCTGTTCCCTAGTAGTCAATTCATGGAAGTGATCAAGAATGTCCTTCCAGTCACCCAGGTTGTGAACTTTTGGTGCAAGCAAGGCTGCTATTGTTTTAATTGCCAGAGGAAGCCCCCCGCATTTTCCCACAATTTCTTTGCCCACTTTTTCAAACTGGAGATTAGGACATGTCCCCTTGGTCTCGGAAAAGGCAAAGTTGCAGAACAATGACCAGCTGTCCTTCTTATCAAGAACTTTTGGATGGTGAATACGTGAACTTTCAACACCCATAAGGGTTGCTGCATCTTCATTTCTTGTTGTGATTAGGACACAACTTCTCTTTCCTGTTTTCTGTATAGCAGAACATAGCTTACTCCACCAGTCTTGATTAAAGCTCCAAACATCGTCCATGACAATGAGACAGTTCTGACCTTGAAGGGATTGGTTTATAATACGCAACATTTGGCCGAGGTCAGAACCTGTCGAGGGATTTTGTCCCAACTGTTCCAATATGCTCCTGATCAACCTTTCCTCGCTGAAATCCTGAGAAACAGACACCCAGATCCTCTTTTCAAAGCAACAGGATACCACCTTATCGTCAAAAAAATTTTGTGCAATGGTGGTTTTACCTAAGCCCCCCATCCCCACAATGCCAATTCTTTGGAACACTCCGCTCGTGCTAAAAGCCCACTGTTTTAGCTTTTGAATATCATCTTCCAGTCCAACAATCTCAGATGGGTCAAAATCCTGCGAGGTAAATAACCTAGCTCGGTATGTGTTTTCTCCCAAGGATAGAATATGCTGTGGAGTTAAATATAAGCTCAAGTTAGTCCCCATCTTGTCCATGCGTGAATTTATGTCCTTCAGTTGCTTGCCCATTTGATACCTGAAGAAAAATTCAGGAGGTGTGTATTTGGTGCAGGACCCATCTTTCTGATATTCATATCTCAGGATGCAATCTGTCAATGCATCATCAGCTTCGTAAACCAGATCTCTCAGCGTGATCAAGCTTGTCTTGAGAGTCTCCTTCTTAATTTTTAGGTTATTTGTGTCAGCAAGAAAAGCTTTGATAAGATCGAGCTGGGTCTTCATAGCTTCAAAATGACTTCTGAACTCAATTGCAAATTGAGCTTGAGCCATGAGAGCTGTGAACACTTGCTCTACAAGTTTTCCAATAATAACGTCCTCCACTCCCATCTTCTTGCTTGGATAATATCTGAAAATCTCAAATTTAAGTCTTTGTTATTTTAGTTGATAATCAGAAAATGCACTAAATTCCCTACAAGTAGAAATTCCTGACTTTGTATGAATAAATCAAAGGCAAAATAGGCCATTTTTTACTAGCTGATTTACGTATAAACCAAGAGATTTCATTGAATAAACACTAGGGGAGTCAATACATGCCCACAAGGCGATAAACAAATACGAAAGAACTTAAGAGGGAGCAGAGAGCACCCGGCCCTCAAAAGTATTAATCCTTGCAAAATAGCAAAACAAGCCAACTAGCGAAAAGCCCTAATAGGATCAAATGTCCAAGATTAAATCTCTACCTATTAGATGCAGATAAGCATAATATGATGTCTAGGTACGAACAGAATGTTTGTGCCGATGCTTATTTTCGTATGAATCACTTCTACTAATTAGGTGCCAAATCGCAATATTGTTGTTCATCTCAAAATAATATCAAAATATCCTTCTTAAAATAATATCAACCAAATTGTTGATGGATGTAAGTGTAAAACCCAATAGTTTAGTTCACTTCGTCAAAAATATTATTTGAAAAACTAATCCAAAATGAATAGTTTGAAAAATAAATAAATAACATTAGTACGAGAAAAATGTTTCAATGTGTTAAAATTTTAGTGAACTCTTTTTACTATATTCAAAATTGGCGATTTACCAATACCTCCTTATCTTGAACTGGCAGCTACCAGATATCCCTTTCAAAGGAGCTCAAGCTTCATCGACTAATCAGATAAATTAACATAAGGGTATTGCTAAATCCACCATGTGTTTTGTTATTTTCACCAATTTTTTATTTTAAATTACTAACAAACCCTTACATCTAATCACTATCTAGTCATTATCTTGATGTGTGGTGATGTGTTGATAATTTACAATAAAAAATTTGATGGGAATAACAAAATATTTGATGAATTTAGCAATACCTTTAACAGAAACTGAACAAGATTGGGAGGGCCAAGCTTTTTTTTTTTTTAAAAAAAAAAACAGATTGGTAGGACCAAATAAATGAGAAAAAAATTTTTATTATTTCAAAATTAGAACCTGAATCTCATAAGCAACTCAACATGCCCAATCAACTATCAATAGCTTGCAATTGTTGGCAAAGCATATTGGTTTGAACCCTTCTGAAAAAAAGTGCAACTAAAAAGATGGAACTTGATACTTTTCTTTTCTAATCACTTTTTGACAGTTTTTATGCTATAAGATTTGAAACAAGTTCATACAAACCTAATGGGTAATAACGACCCTGTGGCTGAAGTTACTATTGTTGGAAACCTGCCTCTGCCTCCAAAATTTGAATTGGACTAGTCATTCAAGTTGATTGACAAAAACATGACCTTTTTAGTTTTCGGGACAATCATTGTCAACCTTTGGCAAGTTCATCAAGAAAATATTTGCTCATGTGACAACTAGAACTTTCTCCTACAATGATATTTTACTCACTCTTTCGGTTTATTTTTTTGGATAACATATTAAAAAAAACACGAGTTATTTAAAAAACGATATGTATTTTTTTTTTGTATATTTAATATTTTTTGAGATTTTTCAGTGGAACAAAATGATTTAATTGCAAATTAAAAATATTCAAAACCCAAATTGAAATAAATAAATAAATTATAAAAAAAATTTATTGACAAAAAATTCAAAATTTTTTATAACCAATTAACCATGACACAAAACTGACTAAACCATCATCATAGAGTTCTAATTTTGATTTTGCCATTCCTATAGCTAAACCATTTCCAAAATGATGAGAATATATCACAAAGTAAGATAATATATATATATATTGTTAGAAAAACTTGGGATCAAAATTCTATTGTTCAAGATCTCTTTGTTTATAAGGATTTAACAAAACATGATGTTTGCTTAGTAGGGTCATGATAAGTAGTTTTCTCTAATTGGATTTTTTCATCTGAATTACATAAAAAGGTACTGATAATTTTGGTGCGTTATTAAATTTCACTCCAAGAAACTGAGATTTAGTTATTTAGTTTTGAAAATCAGTTTCTAAAATAACATAAGAAAGTGTTGCAGTGTGGGATTTGAAAAAGTTAAATTCTAGAGAACATATCACATTTGAGCACGAATAAAATGCAAAAAAAAAAAAAAAAAAATTATAAACTTATTCTTCCAAATCTTATCATTCAATTTTTTTTTTTTTTGGAATTTCATATATATATATATAAACATAATTTATTAGGGATGCAATGAAATACTGAAATATGGTACAACATGTTTTATTAAGCTTCCATGATTTTTGATACGACATATATTATTAATTATGAAACTTAATTGAGAACACAATAAAATTACAGAAGATCGATCATTTTCTAAATAATTTAATAATACAATAAATTTTCTGACAGATCACTTACCGAAGGGTGGCAAAGCAGTTTTGACAGCTTCCAACTGAGAGCTAATTCTCTACCTGGAAAACAAACACGTTCTGATGATGATAGATAAGTCAGGTGTGGCTTGAATAATTGCAAACTGGAGGATATATAGAAGTAAAAGAAAGGAGACAGAGATAATAAACGAAGGAACAGAAAAGGTACGCAAGATTGCTTTATATATGTAAAAGTTGCGGAAGAGCAAGAATTCTGGTGGATAGCATACTCTAACCTTTCTTTAACAAAAAAATAATAAAAAAATAAAATTGTAGGGCCTAGCTACCACTAACAAATACTCACACATATGCATGTACGTCATTGATCTTTCATCATCGTTCGTCGTGAACTTGATGGATTCAGTCAATGAATAAAAATTTTCCACTTTCTTTGGAAATAGGTTCATGCAAGCTGTTGGTCGGAAAATAATTAAAACATATATTGCGGAGATCAACACGACATGCAATAAAGCAAAAGCATCTTTTTTCATCTATGACAATTGACAAGCACTGTCTAAAGATAAAAAGTTAGCATCTTTTGATTTAAAAAAAAATCTATGCTGAACAACTAACGGGCCAGGGTCTACATATATATACTAATGAAATATACATCATGATAGTTATACCTAGTAATTGATAAAAGTTTTATTAAAGTTAAAGTCAAAATTAAACATTTTATTTAGTTAGATTTTAATCCCCTAAAAAACAAAAGGTAAATAATTCAATCTATTATTATATAATACTTTCCATCTATCTTTGAATTTATAATTACATCTCATATGTTTTTAAAATTTTTTAAAATATTTAATCTGTTTTCCATCAATTTTTTGGCCATGATTTTTTTTTTATCAAAATATTTCTGATTGAAATGTAAAAATAAAAAATCTAAAAACATCATACCTACATGATTTAAAGAAAACCTAGTTAAATGCCATGATTCATTGGATCATAATTAAAATATACAAACTAATGGATTGTGTAACTATGCATAATAATAATAATGAGCTAAGCTATGAGAGCATAAAGTCGGAAAGAGAATTCAAATCCACGTGAACTCCATAGTTGCTTTAGCATTTAGTAAGTGCTTTCTAAATTATTCTATTAAAGAAAGAAAAACTAACTGAAATATTTTATGGTTTCAATTATTGATCGGTTTCTTTTTCCATCATGGAAGGAACCACTTATCATTACTAAAATATTTTGATACATGAAAGAAAGAAAAAGAAATACAACTTGATTTGAAATTATATGTTTCCTGAAAAAATAGAATGTCTGAAATAATAATTTTTAATCCGTCCTAAATAATAAGGTTGGTATGATTATTCTGATGTGTGGGGATGTGAAAGATGGAGATGAGGTATTGAAAGAAAAAGGTAAGAACAAAGATAAATGGTTTTTTTTTTTTTTTTTTTTTGAAAAAAAGTTAGCCATTAAGATTTTAGGGTACATTATAATAACTCATTTGAGGCATTACAAAATTGAAGAGATTATACAAAAATTCCAAGATGTGATAGAAACTTTTTTCATGTTTAAAAGATACTACTGAAACCTTTTTTATATCCAAAATACACTTAATTATCACTAAAAATATATAATTAAATTTGAATATTTTAAAAATAGAGAAAGAATGTAAAAAAAAAAAAAAAAAGGGACGTAATGATTGTTTAGTAGATGAACAATTTATCATCTAATTTTGATGATTATTTGTTTGATTTTCTTAATAATTTTTCTATAATTTATTATTCTTTGTAATTTAACCACATATATATATTTTTTAAAAAATAATAATTAAGGATACTATTTGTATAGTTAGATAGTTGAGATTGAGTTTCATCCATAAGACTTAAGCCTTATATGGGTGACCTCTTCACAACTTTATATAATACTTATCTTTACTTTAACTCGTTCAACGTGGATATGTACTCTAACACTTCCTCTCCATCGTAGTCTATCTTTTGGAGGCTCCATTACCAAAAAAAAAAAAAAAAAGGAATTTTAGTGACGAGTTTAAAACTATTCGGAAAAGGCTTCTCGCTAAATATTTTATGATGGTTTATTATAAACCACCTATTTTTTTAAATAATAATGAAGGATACAATTTGTAGAGTTAGATAGTTGAGATTGAGTTCCATCCAAAAGACTTAAGTCTTATATGGGTGACATCTTCACAACTTTTTATATTACTTATCTTTACTTTAACTATTCAATGTGGATATGTACTCCAACACTTCCTCTCAATCGCAATCTATCTTGTGGGGGTTCCACTAAAAAAAAATAAAAATAAAAATAAATAAAAAAATAAAAATAAAAATTTAGCGACAGTTTAAAAATATTCGAAAACGGCTTCTCGCTAAATATTTTACGATGGTTTATTATAAACCACATATTTTTTTAAATAATAATTAAGGATATAATTTGTAGAGTTAGATAATTGAAATTGAGTTTCATCTAAAAGACTTAAGTCTTATATGGATGACTTCTTCACAACTTTATATATTACTTATCTTACTTTAACTATTCAATGTAGATATGTGCTTTAACACTCCCTCTTAATTGTACTATA